GGACGAGCTCAGAGACACAGCATTATCATCCGCATTTAGCAAGAGTAGATAATATACGTCCACATCCGTAATGGGAAATTTCTTTTTGGGCTAATATGGGCCTAAAGGACTGGGTTAATAGTCTCTCACTCTCTTGCTTACAAGGCGGTTTTTTTTTTTTTTTTTTTTTTTTTTGGGTTTTTTTGACCATTTCATTATGCAGATTCCTTTCTGCATGTCCAACACATGTTCGAAGGGATGCCCTCAAGAAATGTAGAAATTCTAACAGGGAATGCTTTTCCTTTTTGGCAACTTCAGAACAGAACAAACAATGTGTAAGTATTAGCTAAAAGACAAGTCTATGTAACTGCCTTTGGTGCTTTGTTCAACCTTCAGGTCAGTCTTCAGGTTTTCAACACCTTCTTTCTTCCTTTTTCACCTTTTGATTGCATTGCTTGAGTCATTCTATCTAAATCTCATGGCTGAGGTTTACCGGTGCTCCATTGAAATAATGCTGAATGACCTGCGTTGCTTCTAGTTGTTGTTTTCTATCCCTTTGGTGGGTCTGCTGTTAGATTATATTGCTTTTGCTTGGTTCCTTTGGGGTTTGTTGTGCGAATAATTTGTTGGTAAGGGTTGCTTCTTTCATTAAGGTTTGTGGGTTTGTGCCTATCGATGTTTTTGCTGTATCATTTGAAGCTAGATTGTTTCTTTTGCTTTTTAAGGTAATGATGCATACATTATTGGTTTAATGTTTTTGGTAGAAAAAAAAATGGCATTTTGGATTGTTGATGTCAATTAATGCCAGATGTTCTGTTATGGTCTAAAATGTAGATGGGTTGATCAAAGTTGCAATTTACTTGCCAAGCCGGAATTAAACATAACTATTGTCCAGGTAATCGGCCGGATTGGTCTGTATGTTTACTCTATGGTTTAATTGTAACCATATTGCAAAGAAATGTTTCATTGTTTAGTCCTCAGGAAAGCAGCAAGTCTCATGTCTCTGTTTATTTTTGAATAAGTGATTTCTGAACTTCATGATTTAACTAACGTTGGTTTCTCTTATATGGGGAGCAACAGTTTGTTACGCGTTCAAAGCTCCTCATTGCACAACTAAGAGCACTTTTTTGTAGATTTTGAAATCCATAATATGAAAATTGAGCCTTTCTCCTTTAGTTTTTGGTTTTTTAAGATAGAATTCTTTAGATTTCTTTTGGGTTTGTTCAACTTTTGCGTTCATTTACATGTTTCTGATTTTCTGTAATTTATTGCTTACTTTACAGAAAGTGGTCTAAATTTGTAACACTTGAAGGAATAAAGACGAAATATTGGTGCATTGCAAGCAAGGGGAATACCTATCATGACAAATGATTATGTAAAAGTTCAAAAGGGGCCACTTGTGGACTGCTTGACATGTTCTCTATGTAAAAATGTCTATAAGGATGCAACTACTATTTGTTCATGCCTTCATACATGTAAGTTTCCTCTCTGTGCTATATACTTCATTGTTCGCTTGCACTCTCTTTTAGTTTGTTTAGTTGGGATAAATCTACCTTGTTCTTTCTTTCTTTCTTCTTCTCTCTTTTTATTTTTTTTTTTTTTTTTTTTCTTTTGTGTTTCCTCTGTGGTGTTGGTCTTTAGAAGCTTAGAAGAGCTATTTTGGTAATCCTCTATAATTTTATTCAATTTTGTAAGCAGGCATTGCTGAAGTTATCATTGCATTAAAAGCATTGAAGGAATTACATAATCTAGTATTCTAAAGCTATCTCTACTTTTTCTTGGTAAAGTACAAAATATTCTCTTCTTCAGGCTTGGTGTTCTGCTTTTGCCTGCACTAATTTAAAATGATGTGTTTACCTGGCTTAGTTTAAGACTTAAGTGCTTTATTTTCCTTTCATATTCTCTGTTCGAAATGCATTGTTTTTGCATCTAAAGCCAAAGACATTTTAATTTAGAATGCTTATTCACTACTTGCTTTATGAACTGAATGTATTAATGAATCTGAAGATGATGGTATTATACAGGGATGGATAACCACTTTCTATTAAATTTTATTATGTAATCCAGATCAAGTAACTAATTGTTTTGATTTATCTATGGATAAGGGTTTGTTTGTGAGATATGCTGCTCCATTTTGTATCATACAGGGATGGACAACAACTTTCTATTAAATTTTATTATGTAATCCAGATCAAGTAACTAGTTGTTATGATTTATGTATGGAAAAGGGTTTGTTTGTGAGATATGCTACTCCTTTTGTTCAAAATTCAATAAATTTTGTATGGCATACGATTTTAATAGAAATAGAAAACCACTTAATAATTGTTGAATCACCTTCTTTGATGTGGGTTTGAGGGCAGAAAGTTGGATCCAATCTTATACTTGCTCAGCTTCCTATTTTCTGACCATGAGCAAGTACTTAATGTGCTGCAAGAGTAAAATGTTTTATAATTTTCAAATGATTTAACTGTCCTTGCAGTCTGTAAACAATGCATACTTCAAAAACTTGGGGAGGACAAGGAAAGTTGCTGTCCTATGTGCAAAGCCTACCTAGGTTCCTTTCCTGAAGAACTCTTAAGGTAAATTCAGTTTCTTGTCTTGTATCTTTTCAGCACATTTGTTAAGTCTTTCTGCATTAATTTCATTTCTTGCTGTTTCTGATGTAAATTTCCTTAAAATGATTAACATGTGTTTGTGTACAGACCTGATCATAGCTTGCGGGAAGTAGTAGCACAAATTTTTCCATCAGAAAATTCTACAAGAGAAGAGAGATCCACATCTTCTCTGGTTAACGTTACCAACCCAACAATTGCCAGACCAAGTGCAGCAAAGGCACTGCTTGAAGACTTTGGTAGCTTGCGGGAAACTAAAAGAAGTCATGATGACAAAGATGTTGCTGAGCAGAATAACTGTCATTTAAATGCTAAGGAGAAGCAGGTATAAATTCTTCTACATGTATTCTATTTTCTGGACAATGAAAAGATTTAGGTCTCTCAAGGCGCCTAGGGTTATCCAAAAGTAAATTTTCTTTTGGTTCTCTTCTTTTTCATGTAAATACATGTTACAGGAAACAGAAATGCTGCAAATAGCTTCTGTTGTATCCAAACCTATGGCTGACATTTGTTCTCTCAAAAGAACAAATAATGATTCAAGCTGGGAGCAACAAGTGCACTGTGAAGAAGGTGAAACATACAAGACTAAGTCAAATATTATACCATGCAATTTAGAAACTAAATGTAATATCGAAATGAAGAAGAAAAAGAGAACAAAGAGAAAGCCTTGCAAGTTTATCTCTGGTCAACGATGTTATGATGTGAAAACAGGAAATAGCAAAGAGTTCCATCCTGATTCCTCTGCTGTTGGAAGGTCTATTGATTCAGGGAAACAATTTGGTGAAGCTATATCTTTGAAGGAGCTTTCTGTTTCACATCCTTTTTGGTTCTGCCTCCTTGCATGTCAGGAAAGGTGAGCTTTTTTTTTTTTTCTTTTTTTTTTTCTTTTTTAATATACATATGGAAAAGTGTAAGTTAAACAGTCAAGTTTATCCAGAGTTCCTCTTGCTCTGGCTCACTTGTCTTTTTTGTTTTGCTTGTTACAGGAAAGGAATTTCATTGCCTCAGATACCAAAACCCTATATTAGAACCAAGTAAGTAATGTGTGTTTACTTATTTATAAGTAGAAAATGATGCTCAATCTGAATTTCCTTCACTTGGTTAGGAGTTGAACACAAGGGGTCTGAACAAGTAATAGGTCACTTGGTCAGTTAATAATATCTGTCAGCTTTGCTGATTAAACCATCAAGCAAAATAACTGTACTGCAAAATTTAGATCTGGATAATTGTTAGCAAATTACTGGTTATTAGTTAATCTAAAATTTGTGCAAAACTAGACCTTTACACATTATGTCATAACCATGTTTCCTTAGTAATCTCTTTCTACATTAGTAATCTTTTCTCGCACATGGCAAACATGTTAGACCACTTGACATTATGTTTCATGAACTGTTTGTCCCATTAATTTAAAAGGAAAAGATCTATTCTTTCCTATTTTATGCTATTTTAATGTTTCATAATAATTTCTGGAATTGTTTCAGGATCGGAGGTCTTGCAGTATCCATTCTGACCAAGTACTTGGCAAAGAAACTAAACCTCAAACATGAAACCGAGGTAGTGATTTTTACCTTATGCCGGTTCGCATTAACATATTATGTAAGCACTTAAACAGCACCTGCTCATGGGAGAGAGTTAAAGGAGTCTTGTAATTCAAACAATAATAATATGAATTCAAGAGATAATTTCATGGGTTGAGGAGTCTTATAATTCATCTGCAGCAGCATGAACACTAAGAAGGAGGATCAAGCTCATTGATTATGTCTTGTTCTTCAGTATATACAAGTTCAACTCTAATCATGGAAACATCTTTTCATGCAGGTAGAGATTATGTGTTTTGGACATCCACTGCCCCCAACTCTAATGCTGAACGACCTAATAGACATATGGATGGAAGCTGTATCGGACATGGGACAAGCATTCATTAACCACGGTGAAGGGACAGCTACCGGTGAGAACATTGTGATGGAGTTAACATATAGAAGAAGCAAAAAGCCTCTGCTGTAGAAGTTTGGATATTTTGGCACCAAGGCTCTACTTGGTATAGGCTTTTTCTTTCTCGGTTAATATCATGCAGCATTTCCATAAAAAGGAAACGAAAACTATGCTTTAAAAAGTCCATAGCCATCTACAGCGTTGTTTTTTACCTTTTCTTTCCACAATTTTGTTACCTGCAAACTGTAATTACCTCCCGGTTAATGCAATCATCTTTCTGTTTCTTCTTCTTCTTCTTCTTCTTCTTTCTTTCTTTCTTTCTTTTTCTTTCCTTTTTTTTTTTTTTTTTTTTTTTTTTTTTTTTTTTTTTCTTTTTTTTTTTTCACAATGTCTTTTTTTTTCTTTTTTTTTTCTCTTTTATGGGATTTCTGTTGCAGTCGTGGGTTTTGATTTTTGTATTTCGTTTTCAGTTTCTGTAGAGATCTTGTTTCTTTCCTCTCTTTTTTTTTGTTGGGATTTTTCTTTTTGTTTTCTACTTTGGGTATTTGTGATTCTTCTGGTAGACAGCCTACTGCAACTTGTACGGTTTTTTTCAAACGTACTCGAATTCTCAATTGGGGTCTCCATATTTTCTGTTTGCTTGATCGGAATCTCAAGCAAAACCCAGTAGATTTGGAGTATTGGTTTTTTTTTTTTTTTAATAAAATAGGTATTACTACATTTTTTTGTTTTTGGTTTTCTTCTTGATTTTCTTAGCTGGGCAGATGATAATAATAATAATGGTGTCTGTCTCTCTGAAGCAGATTGTACTCTCTTTTGCTCATCTTTGGAGCATAATTGACTTGGTTTTTCTTTTTGGGTGTTTGAGATTCTTCCTCGAAACTCTGTGCTTTAGGTGGGTATTTTCTGAGTACATTAAAAAAGGTTCCTTTTTATGGAAATGGGATCTGCTTTTCCACATCTCATCATAAATAATATTAATAGCAATAATAATATTAATAACAATAATAATAATTTCATGTTTGTTACCACACCCTTGATTCCTCTCTGTGAAAAAAGTTGAACCCATGGAGGGTCATGATTTCTACTACAGGCCTTTGTCTCATCTGCCCAAAATGCCTTAAACAATTCCAACACTTCTCTATTCTTTGTCTGGGATTTGCTTAATATAAACATGTAGGGAGTCTAGATGGGGAAGATATAATTATGGGTAATTTATTATAATACTAGATCAGGATTACCAAATTGCAATAATATATTAGGACGTTTAACAACCGCTGTCTCATCTTTTGTTTTCCTCTGATATATTTTTTTTCTTCTTGTTGTATTTGGATGTAGGTGTGGTTGTGATTTGATAGGAACTCTCTGGTTTAGAAGAAAAAAAGGATGGAGGGTGATACATTTTCAGGACTAGGGAATGGTTCCCAGGTAGATGGCAAGATCTTGCAGACATTTCAAAAGAGTTTTGTTCAGGTCCAGAATATCTTGGACCAGAATAGGCTGTTAATCAATGAGATAAACCAGAACCATGAGTCCAAGATCCCTGACAACTTGAGCAGAAATGTTGGTTTAATCAGGGAGCTCAACAACAACATAAGGAGAGTGGTTGACCTCTATGCTGATCTTTCAAGTTCCTTCACCAAATCCGTGGAAGCATCATCTGAGGGGGATTCAAGTGGGGTTTTGAAATCAGATGGCAAAGCTGGGCACAAGAGAAAACCTGCTTAGGGAGGAAAAACTGGCCCGTTGTCAATTCTTTTTCATGGTGCCAGATGAAGGATTTCAGAGTTATATGGAGTTAGAAGAAGAAAAACATGGTTAGGTTCTGTAACTTCCCCATTGTACCAGTGAACTATCTCTAGTTCTGCACTTACAACTCACATTTGTTAGAGAAATAATTGTCTAAAATTGCTTTTCTACTTCATTGTAACTCTCTGTGTAACCCTGGATCTAATTGAAATGAAGCATGTGTGTTCATTTCTAGTTTTGCTCCTGTCTTGGTAATAGATAATAATAAAGGTTCATTTTTAATTAATTCTTCTCCCTCTCTTTCTTGCTCTTTTCCTTTTCAATACTATAGTCTACAGATGTCGACTTGTTTTTACAAGGAACTAAGTCTATCCTCACTTTTTCTTTTTGTCAAAAAGGCTGATTGATATCTGTTTTTTTCCATATTTTCTTTACCTAGTTTTCTTTCAGTTTCTTTCCATGAAGGTTCATAATCTACTTTTGAGTTGGGAACACTCCATAATACCCTTTATTCCTTTTTCAACCTCAATCAAAAGCAAATTTCTTCTAGACATTAGCTGAGAAGCAAAAGACTCTGAGGTAAGACTCAGCAAAGATACTGTTTTGGGTCATCTCCCATGAAACCAAAGATCCCTTTTTTTTTCTCTCTTGTATTTGCAAAGAAAATACTGTTCATATTCTGCTTATTCTCTTTAATGGTTAACGTATAGACTCATACATCCCTGTGAAGATGCTCTGGAAAAGAAAGCAGCTTTTAGATAATCTTTTTGGTTCCCAATCACACGCCACCACAAGATCATAGATAAGAGATGATGAGTGCTTTTGACTATTATTTTAATGTTGTTCTAACCAATGAAATCACTTGGATGGTATTAGTAGGGAGAGAAAAAAAATAAAGTATTCAAGGGAAGTAGTTTTAGCATTTGAGAACATTAGATTACAGTTCAAAGAGACAGACAGATTATGTATGAATGGTGACCCCTCAACAACATGACAAGGGTCCCAAAGCCCAAAGGTTCTTTTTTTCTTTGGAGATGGAACTGAACTTCTCTATGCTTATCCCTTTCCCTCTGCTTAGGTTCTTTCTCTTTTACTTTTCAAATTTTGTTTGTTTTTCCTTTTCTTTTCCTTTTTTTTTTTTTTTTTTTTTTTTTTTTTTTTTTTTTTTTTTTTTTGTTTGCTTCTATATTTTTACTTATTTTCCACCTAATTAATTTTAGCCCATATGTAACCTACCTACGTGATAAAAGGAAACAGAAATTTCTATGAACATATATGATCTTTTTATAGGGTATCATTTGCGTATATTTTTAGGGAAAATGAATTGCATGGTCATTTATGGTTTCATATCGCAATCTTTTGAGGTAATAATTTTTTTTTTAATCTTTATGCAGTAATAATTATTATTGACTTTTTTGGTGAGCAAGATATAAATTAATATATATTTAATATTAATATTATATGATTATTATGAATCTTCAACATAAAATAATATAAAATATAACTTATATAAAAAATAATTAATATATATTTTAATTTAACACATTAGTAAACATTCCCCTACCAATCATTATCCAAGTCATATAAGATAAAATCCTAATGATAACACCGAGAGTTTAGGATATTCTATAAATGCACAGAAAAATCTAAATGATTAAATTAATACATTAAATGGTGTAGGGCAGTGATGATATCGACTTGGTGGTAAGGAAGTGAATTCCTTATGGGGCTCACCATCTTCAATACCTCATTTTCTGTCACACAAATGCCTCGGGGTTGGGACTGAAATTATGTTTTTTTCTGCTTCAAATGTTTGTCTGTTATACCTACCCTCATTTTCTTATAAATTTTCCTTCCTAAATATCTCAGAGACTTTAGGGGAGTGATTACAACCTTTAATTCTATGAACCAAAAAAATTACTTGTAATTAATTCCATTGTTTATTTTCAAAAGAAAATTTTTGCCTAATTATTCCCTTAAAGCAGCTAGTTAAAGTGCACCTGAAGTGTTTCGGGAGAGTTATTATCAACTGTTTAAATTTAGTAGATAGTTAATAGTAATTGACATCTAATGACTTATAATATAATTTATTGGATTAAAATTAACAATTAATCATTGTTTTCAAAACTTTAAAACACTCCTTTGACCTTTGCCAGTCTCAAACCACATCAATACTGGTGTATTATTTCAATTTCCCACCCCCAGAAGTTACATATTACTCTTGAAAAAACAAAAACAGAAACACACAGACAGAAAGAGAAGCAAAGAAATAACTCCCTTCTCAATAAAAAACGAAAATCTTGGTTTTTTTTAGTCACTTATTGATAATGTTCTTTTACAATGATCACACAAGAGTAAATAAAAGTTAATTTTATGATATTAGTGTTTATCAATTAAATTTATAAAAAACTAAGTGAAAAACACTCACAATTATCATTTTAACAGAACATCACAAAATAAACTACAATGGCTTCTTTCTTACATTAAAAATTAAGATGTTTTAATTTTTTTTAATAAAAATTTATTAAAACGATGTAATTTTAAGATAATTTTCACTTAATTTTTTTTATAAATATAATTAATAAATATTTTTTTCTCCAATTTTTATTGACTCTTTGAGTCAATGAAATGTATAAATTAATATGTGTCTACACTCTTTTGATACTATGTAATTGTCATTAACAATATTCTTAATAAAATAATTATATATTAAAATCACGTAAATTAAATTATCAAAAATGCTATAGGTACAATATTGCATAACATTGTAATTTAATAATATGACGTATTGTCATATAATTAATTTATTTTATTTAGAAATTCATTTATAATATTGTATATATTTACTCATTTAATACTATATAATATTTTATTAAATATCACGTAAAATTCTAAACTTACAAATTTATGTGGCAATATAATTTTAACATAACTGGTTAAATTACATAGTCCTTTATTATTGAATCAATTTATTTTCAAAGTGTGTTATATTATAGGTTCCATATACAATTTAAAATTTGAGATTAACACTTTAAAAAAAATTTTGATTTTCTTAAATACATTCTATTAATATCAAATATGTATTTAAAAAATCTTAAAAAGAAATTTAGTAGAAATTTAAATCTTTTGCCGGTGAGGGATGATTTGATTTAATTGGTTAAAATTTTGAAAATTTGATTTAAAATTTTAATATTTAAATTTTGTATTGAGTGAGAAAGACTTAAAAAAATAATAAAATACTTATTTTTATATTAATTTTTTTATCAAATGTATATATTTAAAATTTTAGCCAATGTTTTTAGACACAGAAGTTAGATATATAATTAATATATTTTTTAATTTTTAATTTACATAAAGAAATGAAAGATTAATATAAATTTTAATTTAATACTATTTAAATAATTTATAAATTAAATATTAATTTTTATTTTTAATATAAATTAATTATTAAAAAATATTAATTACAAACCTCACAAGAGTATATATTAAAAAATTCATTAAAAAAATGAAAAAGAACACCGTAGTAGTTTAATTTTAGCGGAAACTGAAACATCTGCCGTCTGAATGTCTCCCAGTTGGACAGCCGATCGTGGAGACCACAGATAATCATTGAGCTTCATTGGACCTTTAAACAATGTTTTCTTTTCTTTTCTTCTTTAAAGGGCTTTTTAAAGTTAATGCGAGTGAGTTAGGTGTGTGTTTATTATATTTTTTATTATTATTTTGAATAATGCTGTGTGCACCCTCCGGTTCAACACCCGGGGGTGCACACCCTTAGTAACCAAATAACTTTAACAACAAAATTACATATTTAATCTTAAAGTTAGTTTCCTCTCAATATTCCTATTTCTTCTTGTCTCTCCATCTTCCTCTGCCGAATTCTTCTCCTTCTCCGAGATCTGCTTCACCCTTTTATATATATATTTTTTTGGGGCTGCTTGGCGATGACGATGATGATGGTGGTGGTGATGGTGACGATGGTGATGGAAAACAGAGGGATCTATGGTTCTGCCCCTCTCCTTCTATTTTGGTGGTGATTGAGGATGGTGATGGAGGTGGAGGTTGTGATGATGATGAGATGCAAGGAGATGGTCTCTGGGTTCTCCCGAGAGAGAGAAAGAAAAAAAAAAGGGCCTGTGTTCTGGGTTCTGGGTTCTCCAGGAGAACCCAGATCGGGTTCTCCGAGACTGGGTTCCTCTCGGAGAACCCATCTGGGTTCCTCTCCGAAAACCCATCTGGGTTCTCCAATGGGTTCTTGAGAGAACCCAGACCTGGGTTCTCTCGAGAACCCGAACGAACAAAAAAAAGAAAAAAGAAAAAAGGAAAGGCTGGGTTCTCGGAGAACCCAAGGTTCTTCTCGGAGAACCCGTCTGGGTTCTCCAATGGGTTGTCCAAAGAACCCAGACCTGGGTTCTCCGAGAAGTACCCAAGTTAGGGTTCTCGAGAGAACCCGGACGAAAAAAAGAAAAAAAAAGAAAAAAAAGGGATAAATCTGTAATTTTACTTTTAAAATTATGTGGTTAAGTGGTGTGTGCACCCCGGGTGTTGAACCGGGGGTGCATGAATCGCGATCCTATTATTTTACATAAAAAAATTATAAAAATAAATTTTATTTTAAAAAATATATATTAGTCTTAATTTTAAAAAAATAATTAGATTTTTAATTTTAAATTAC